GTCTTGCAGTTGTCCATGGCTGAGCCTTTCCCCTCAGTGCCATCCTCTGCCCTCCAGTGTTGGTGATGTGGCTGGCACCTTTAAAAAAGAAGGCAGTTAGTAGTGGTGGTCTTTTCTGCTGGCTGCACTTGATTTGGGGATTGTTTTGGAACTGTTGCTGCCCACATCAGATTGACCACTCCCAACCCATCTATATTAGTTTGGTTTCTGGGGAAATAGTGTGTCTTCCTGTTGTCTCCGGGGTTATTATCCAAACCACTGGTGCCTAGTGTGACTTCTTCTTCTTCTTCTTTTAATGGTAGTGGGGATTGAACCCAGGGGTGTATCACTGAGCTATATTCCTTTTTATTTTATTTTGATACAGGGTTCACTAAGTTGCCCAGGCTAGCCTCAAACTTTAATCCTCCTACCTCAACCTCATAAGTTGCTTGGGATTATAGGTATGTGTCCCTGTGCCTGGCTCATTGTGATAGTTTTGATACTAGACTTTATATGTTTTCACTCACAGTGATTATAGGAGACCATCAGCCATAAATCTGACTTTCAGATATATGTCAATTTCAGAGGTATTTCAGATGTTGAGCAAATTGTTTTGCTTTTGTTCAGAAAGAAAAGAAACAGATTGTGAGCGCCTTCTGCCTGACAAATAGGCAGTTTGTGTGTTAGGAGATAAGGCCCTCAGTTTGATTGTAGTTTTCCATACCAGCCAATTAGGATGTAATCTTTCTAGTTTAAAAATTATATTTTAGGATATGAGGATGCCGACTCATAATGGTGATGGGGACAGCATGGGAGGAATGGAGGACCTTTAGATAGGGCAAAGGGGACGGAGGTAAGGGAGAGGACAAGGGGGTAGGACTGATGGTGGAATGAGTTAGATGTCATTACCCTAGGTACATGTATGAAGACACTAATGCTGTGAAAATTCTTTGTACAATCAGTGACTTGAAAAATTGTGCTCTATGTGTGTAATATAAAATGAATTGCATTCTGCCATCATATATAAGAAACTAGAATAAATAAATAATTTAATTAAAAAATATATTTCAGGGGCTGGGTTGTGGCTCAGTGGTAGAGCACTTGCCTAGCTGGGCTTAATTCTCAACACTGCATATAAATAAATGAATAAAATAAAGGTTCATCAACATTTTAAAAAAATTTGGAAAAAAAATTATTTTTCAGAAAAGAAAATGTTTCCTTGGAGTCTAGAGTGTTTCCAAGAGACTTCTTAGACAACTTTGCATTGGTTACTAAATGCAAAGCAGAAAGTTACATGTTTCAAATTTTACATATAAAGGTACCTGCCTGTCAAAGTTCAGACAATCAGTAAGATGAGATGCTTATGTTTCAGCCCAAACTCCATTCAAGTTCTTCTAAGTGGCTTCACTGTTTACATTGAATTATTTGGAACCTTCTCCACTTACCCCTCCAGTTTGTTTGATTGCTGCCTGCTAAGGAGGATGATTTTGCAGTGTACTTAGAGACTTATAACTGAGTCTAATCTCAAGCTTTTTTTGCATTTTTAAAAAATCATAAAATACAAATTAACAATCTGTCTTTTTAATATTTATTTTTTGTAGTTGTAGTTGGACATAGTAACTTTATTTTATTTATTTATATGTGGTGCTGAGGATCGAACCCAGGGCCTTGCACATATGAGGCTAGTGCTCTACCACTGAGCCATAACCCCAGCCCCCAAATCTACTGTCGTAACCAATGTACACTTCAGACAGGTTAAGGACATTCACATTGTTGCACAGCCATTGCAGTCACCCACCTCCTAGACTCCTTTCATCTTGCAAAACTGAAACTTGTTTTCAACCAACAGTGACTCTCTATTCCTCCCTCCCTTCCAGCCCCTGGCAGCCAACATTCTACACTGTGATTTTGACTATTCCAGGAACTTTATAAATGTAGAATTAGTCTTTTATTGACTGTCCTCGAGGTTCATTTGTGTTTTAGCTTATGTCAGTTTTCTTCCCTTTTTGTGGGGAAGGGCGTTGATACTAGGGATTGAACTCAGGGGCACTCCACCACTGAGCTCCGTCCCCAGCCCTATTTTGTATTTTATTTAGAAATAGGGTCTCACTGAGTTGCGTAGCACCTCACTTATGCTGAGGCTGGTTTTGAACTTGCGGTCCTCCTGTCTCAACCTCCCGTGCCGCTGGCATTACAGGTGTGCGCCACTGAGCCCAGCAATTTCCTTCCTTTATAAGGTTAAATAACATATATCATGGTAGGGCTGGGATAGAACTCAGTGGTAGAGGACCTGCCCAGCATTTCTCATACCCTGATTTCAATCTCTAGTACTTAGCCTCTCTGTGTAGGTATATGCACTAATACACAAACACACACTCTTATACCTGGTAATTCTGTATGCCATTTATTTATTTATTTATTTATTCATCTGTTGATGGGACACAGTACAGAATTTTTTCTTTGAGTCTTTGCTTTCAGTTTTTTGGGGTATATTCTCAGGTGCAATTGCTGGATCATATGGTGATTCTATTTCAGTTTTTTGAGGACCCCCCCAACTGTTTTCATAGTGACTATATCATTTGACATCCCCACCAGCAGTGCATAAGGGTTTTTTTTTAAGTATATATTTATTTTTTAGTTATAGGTGGACACACAATATCTTTATTTCATTTTTACGTGGTGCTGAGGATCGAACCCAGTGCCCCACGCATGCTAGGGGAGTGCTCCACCACTGAGGCACAGCCCCAGCCCAGCATAAGGGTTCTGATTTGTCAAAATCCTCACAAACAGGCAAATAGTTTTTTTTTTAATAGTAGCCATCCTAATGTGAGGTGGTATCTAATCATGGTTTTCATTTGCCTTTCTAAAATCTGAAATCTTGAAAGTGGTTTAAGGAAGGAATATGAGGCCTCTGCTTGACCAGGTCACAGTGGACATGGACAGATTTGTTGTAAAGCTTTTGTGGAGGCCCTGGTAAGAGAGGATGGTGGCCTGGATACGGTGGAGGCATGGGGCTGGGAAGAGGTGGACTCAAGAGAAAGTGACAAAACTTGGTGATAAATTGGCAGTGTTTGAGGAGGTGAGGGGGAGGAAGAGGGCATGCATGGACCTCTGGCTTGAGTAATAGGCTGGAACAGGTGGATTCCTGCCCTCTACCAGTTCTTCCATGAAAGAAATACTTCTTCAGTTTCTTTCAGAAATCTTTTTCACCCCAGTGTCTGCTCTCCCATGGGTGATGTGCCGTGACCTCTGCTCTGGTCAGTTCAGGTCAGCAGTACCCATTAGGGAGCAGGTGCTGTGCTGGGTTTCAAGGAGATGAAGACGAGTGGAACAGGAGGTCTGGGGGACTCCATTACACACAAATTAGTGAGGATCCCAAGTAGCTTTCACATGTGTGGGTCATACCAGGTCAGCAAGGAAAATTAAAGAGGTTTAAGAAATATTTATTAATTTAAAAAATCATGTTAGCATAAATAACATTTTTAATGAAAATACATTTTGAACAACAAATTTGGTGAGAGTTGGGACATAGGTTTTACTTTTGCAAGTCTTTTAACTGTCTGAATCAGTAGAAGACAGTTTGATTCTCATGTTAACTTTGGTATTCAATCTGATACAAAATCATCTGAAAAACTCCACTGGACACTTGTTAAGAGAATGGGAGTGAAAGAGACAATTGTCTTGGTATTTTTATAAAAATAGTTTTTCCTTCAGAGACTTTCTGGAAACGTCTTGGGGACCCTGATGCGATTACAGACTAGAGTCAGACTGCATGAGAACAGAGCCAGCTCTGCCACTTGGTAGGCAGCAGTGTCACCAATGTATACAATGTTTCTGTGCCTCAGTTTGTGCCTAGATAAAGTGGGTATGTCACAGGCACCTGTCTTAATGGGTCATTATGAGGATTAAGTAGGTAAATACTTATAAAGTTCTTAGAACCATGCTACAAGGTAGTAAGTGCCACAGAAGTATTTATTAAGTAAGACTTAATCTTTTCTTCAAGGGATTTATATAATCTAATCAAGTAGACACAACGACCAACCAAACAACTTCAGGGGTTGATGTAAGTTCATTGAAGTTCCTTTGCAGCAGAGGCACAGGGAGGGGCTGCTGAACTTTTAGTGAGGACTCGGGGAATTCTTGACTAAAAATGATGGGAGGAGCAGGTTTTCTGCAGTGTTAGAGTGATGGGTGGTTCCTAGTTCAGATGAGGCTCCCTGTGAGCATTTGCCATCGCGAACTTTCATTTTTCCATATTCCCAGCAGAGGAGCTGTCCAGCCTGGTTGATTTCCTTCTCTCTGATGCCTGCTTAGGCCCAGCTGTATCCTCATACCTGTGGCAGCAGGGAGTCAGTGAGTTGATTGAGTGCTTAGAACTAATGACTATGAAAATGTGAATAAAACATTTTTTGTGATCTACTGTGATTTTGTGGCACATATTTATAATTACTTGATAACTCTGGAGTATTGAGAAGAAAAAGTGGCAGATTATATTTTCATTGCAATCAAGTAAAAACAACAAAATCATTTGCTCCTGAAACTATTGGTAAAATTTGTTTTAGTGTAACTTTTTTCTTTCTCTCATTGAATTAAAATGGACTATTTTAAATCTTACCTATTTTAAGTGATCAAGTGATAGCATTTAATTAAAATGGCTCACTGGGGACGTAACTCAGCTGTAGAGGGCTTGCCTAGCATGTGAGACCTGGGGTTCCATCCCTAACATTGAAAAATATAATCTCAAATAAATAACAGACTCTGTTGTGTAGAAGGGTAGTATGCTTATTGGAAGTTCAGTCAAGGAGGTACAGTAAACAGATGGTAAGGTGATTAAGATGGTCTTTAAAAAGTGAGTTGGCGGTTTGCATGAAAGCTGATTTGCTGAGTTACTCTCTCAAATGAGTACTTCCTTTTCAAGGCCTACGAGGCCATGAGGCTCTGCAGCGGGGATGCAGTTATGCTCAGGTGCAGTGTTTTCTGCTGTTGAGTCACGCAATGCCCTCTCTCCCCTCCTGTTGTAGATCCGACGGCGGCGCCTGGCACGACTTGCTGGTGGACAGACCTCCCAGCCGAGCACCCCGCTTACCTCTCCCCAGAGGGAGAACCCTCCAGGGCCCCCGATAGCAGCGTCAGCCCCAGGCCCCTCCCAGAGTCTTGGTCTCAATGTCCACAACATGACCCCAGCTACCTCCCCAATAGGTGCAGCAGGTAAGCCGCAGCTTCCTATCTGGGAAGCCTGTACTTCTGATCTCAGCTTTCTAATAAGCCAATGGTCAGGAGGTTTCCACCGCAATGATGGCAAGCAGTAGTGGATAAAGATTTTTGCAGTGTGTTTTGTTATTGTCTGCTCATTTTGGTGCTGATCTGTCGAACTGGTGGATTTCCTTTGCCTTACCTTTTATCTTCCTTTTATCAAACAGGCTCAGGTTTCATCTCTGCTGGCAAGGGGATTAAGACTGAATTGGGTCCTGCTGATTTTATGAATTTGTTGATGCTTTCCTTTTTCCCTCTCTCCTATCTTCCCTTGCTCCCTCTGTTCCCAGGGTTTTGGGTATGATAAGCACAGCCTCTACCACTGAGCTACCCCCACCTGTTAAGAAAAAATAATACAAAAATGCAAAAATTGATTTCATGGTCAAAAGACAAATTTCCTTTATGCTGCATTGGCACAGAACTGGTTCTCTAAATTTTCAGGGTATGAATGTCTCCTGGGGCTGAAGGTACAGCTCAGTGGTAGAGCATTTGCTTAGCATGTGCAAGGCCCTGGGTTCCATCCCTAGCACTGCAAACAAAGCAAAACAAATCAGGAAACTTCACCTGATGTGATATTGGGTAATTATCTCATTGACAACCATTTAACTATAGTCAAGATTTATTTCTTTAAACAAGCTGATAATTGATATCTGGAACTCTTGAAAAATAATGATATTGATTTATACTGCATATTTGAAAAATATTTTTTCCATGAGACCTTTTCTTTCTTTTTTTGGTACTGGAGATTGAACCCAGGGTCGCTCTACCACTGAGCCATATCCCCAACCCTTTTTATTTTTTTTAGTTTGAGATAGGGTCTTGCTGAGTTGCTGAGGGACTTGCTAAATTGCTGAGTCTCTCTCTTTAGTTGCTGAGACTGGTCTTGAACTTGTGATCCTCCTGCCTAAGCCTACATAGTTGCTGGGATTACAGGTGTATATCACCATACTCAGCTCTATTTGAACTTTTCTATCATACAAAATATGGTGTCATTATAATAATTATTATGATTGCTGTTTTATAATTTAAGCCATTAGAAAGTAGATTCTAAGATTGCACGGATCATCATATCTAATAATTTGATCTATGACTATTAGTTCCATGATTATTTCATGTATTCTGCCTTTGTCAACCTTCCAAATAATCTGTCTTCTTGATCTAAGATTATTTGTTAATTAAAAATATTTCAGTTACTATAACTCCTTAAGCATTGGTTTAGGTTCCTTTTCATTTTCCAGAAAAAATTCTTATCCTTAATTCTTCTAACATTTGTGCGTGTGTGTGTGTGTGTGTGTGTATATGTTGCTGGGGATTGAACCCAGGACCTTGTGCAGGTGAGGCAAGCACTCTACCAGCTGAGCTATATCTCCAGCTCTCTTATCCTTAATTCTATTAATTATAAAAGAGGGATATTCAGGCTAAAAATCAAAATTAGTAATGAATACCTTTGTCTGAAATGTTTCTTCTGTATTACTTTGCAAAGTGAGATGGTCTTTCAGTAGGACTGAAATCTTAGGGTTCCAGTGGTGATTTTATCTTTTCTTTGGAAAAAGTGCTAACAGCTGTTCTATTTGTCTCACCATGCTCAGGCCATACCTGCAGTTCTAGAATTTGTGCAGAGGAGTGCCTTTTTCTCACTTTATCTTTCTTGCTTTGTTATATCACAATTCTGGTTAAGTCCCATTTCTGTCCTGTCCTCTGTTTCATACACTGGAACAAGACAAATTCATGATCACAAACTCAAGTGGACCCGTAATACTGTCAGCATATTTCCCAGTCCACTTTTCTTTCTAAAATAGATGTTATGGGGCTGGGCATGTGGCTCAAGCGATAGCATGCTCACCTGGCATGCGTGGGGTGCTGGGTTCGATCCTCAGCACCACATAAAAAAATAAAATAAAGATGTTGTCCACCGAAAACTAAAAAATAAATATTAAAAAAATAAATAAAGTAGATGTCATACCTTATCCTCCAGTCATCACACATTATTTTGCACGCACACTCTCTCAGCATCCTGTTTCATTGAGAAAGTGGATGCAGGCAAGAGGGAACCTGTACCCCCATGGCATCCAGCTGCCTGCCTCTGCGTGTGCTCAGTTTTTCTTAAAATGAACTGCCTCTGTGTCGTTGAAGTTGGATCCTGAATCCTGTTCCCTCTGACTTACTCCGGGCCATGGTTCTAGTTGTTCTCTTGTCCTGCCTCATCAGTTCTCTCATCTCAAGGGGATTTTTGTGGTAATCTGTATTCATGCTGTTACTTCTCCTGTTATGGGAACTTTAGAAAGGAACTCTCTTAATCTTGTTTCCCCTGGTAGCTTCCACCCTATTTTTGCAGCTTTTCACCCCAGAAGTTTTGGAATGAGTCTAGTGGTCAGAATCTCCTCCTATTGTCCTTGTATCCTCTGCTAAATTGACCCCAGGTGGGGAGGCCTTTTGTGGTTTGCTCTGAGTCACTGGTCTGCTCTTTCAGCCTCTTTTGACACAGGCTATCACCATCTCAGCTTTAAAATACTTTTTTCTTTTAGTTTTCAGAATACCACTCAGTTCTCTTGGTTTTCATCCTGTCTCTTATCTGCTCCTTCTTAGTTTTTCGCATGGTTCTTTTTCATTTCCCTGATTTCTAAATGATAGGATGCGAGGGTTCAATATTTAAAATCTTGTTCTCTACATCTGTGTTTTCCTTATTGATTTCATCTGTTCTCCTGGCTTTAATTACTACCTCTAATTTGATGATTCCTAAGTTTATATCTTTGGTTCAGACCTAATTCTTTTTTTTTTTTTAAGAGAGAGAGAGAATGAGAGAGAGAATTTTTAAATATTTATTTTTCAATTTTCGGCGGACACAACATCTTTGTTTGTATGTGGTGCTGAGGATGGAACCCAGGCCGCATGCAAGCCAGGCGAGCGTGCTGCTGCTTGAGCCCCAGCCCCAGCCCAAGCTCAGACCTAATTCTAGCATCTGAAAATTTATAATCTAATGGCCTGTTTGACATCTTTGCTAGTATGTCTTGATAAGCATCTCCCAGTTAACGCCTCTAAAGTGAAGTTTTGGTAGTTCCTTCATCTTCTTCCAGGCCATCATTTCAATAAGTGATAGCTCATTTTTTTTTTTTCAAGTTGCTTAAGCCTGAAACATCATCCCTTTTGTTTTTATCTTATATGCTGGACTGTGGATTGGCATACTTTCTGTAAAGGGCCAATTTTTTTTTTTAACAGACCATAAGGTAACAGCTATTCATCTCTGTTCAAAGCACAAAAGCAGCTGTAGCCGGTATGTACACAAACAAGTGTGACTGTGTTATAGTAAAACTCAGCTCAGTGAAGCAGGTAGTGAGGGGACTTGGCCTGTGGGCTGCAGCTTGAAGCCCCTGGCTCTCAGCCCTTCAGCAAACTAGAAGACCAGATTGTCAGCTTCTGCTTGTCACCCCTTGTCCCTTCCTAAGCCCGAGGCACCAGCATCTCTGCTCTGTTGCTGGCGCAGCCTCTTGCCTGGTCTCTCTAGGCCCATGCTGGCTGCACTCTCAGCGCCAAGCCTCCGGGCCCAGTGCATAGTGCAGTGTTGCGTAACAGCAGTGTTGTTTCTTACAGCAGGTTTATTATGTTGTCACAAACTAACAAACACTTGGGTGTCCTCTCAGTGGTTAGCTCTTGGCAGTGCATCGCAATGCCAGTCTCTCCATAATCTCCTGATTATGTTTCTCACGTAATCACCATTATTCATAATTACAAACAGGTGGCTATTATTAGCTATGCTTTGGCAGGTTGGATAAACAAATTCGTGATTTATTAAATAAACAAGTAAGAAGAAAAATAAAACCCTCCACAAGGCAGATCGTGTCATCTCTCTTCAGAACCCACCAGTGGCTCCCTCCCTTCCTCAAGACAAAAATCTTTTAGAGCCCCCACCATGCCCTAGGGCTGTGTGTGATCAGGACGTGTAACCCCTTTCCCACTGCTCTCCTGTTTTCTCTGCTCAGGCATGCTGATTTTCTTGGTCCTGGAACATTCCAGGCAGGACCCTAATTTGGGTCATTTGTGTTTGCTATTTCTTTGCTTAGCCTATACACACTTTAGAAACAATGCTTCAGGTGTTACTTAAGTGTCACTTCCTCAATAAGATGACCTTGGTCCTTGGCCACTGCCTGCAGTTGCTACCTCTGTCATGGATCCTCTTCTAGCTCTTAACTGTCAGCAGATATTGGCAGGTGTAGTATGGTGTGTTCTGGTTTGTATGCTCACCTATTGGCAAGGACTTGTGCCCATTTTGTTCACTGCTGTGTCACCAGTGCCTGGATGTTATTTATTAAATCATTAATAATGAGTCGGGTTGAATTAAGAAATGATTCATAACAGATAAAGCAAAATGACATGGGCATGTATAACTTAAAGAAATTTTAAGAAAATATGATAGCTGTGCATTAAGAAATGAAAGGTTATCTATCACGAGGAAGATAAATTGCTTATGCTTGTTTTCTGTTGTTTTAGAAGTTAGCGGGCCCATGGCTAGATTTATCATCCCCTGAATGTGAAGGAGAGACTTGTGTTCAGAGTCAAGAAGTGTTTCTTCCTACCCGCATGCCAACCAGTCCCCACCTTGCCTAGCTTTGGAGATCAGAAGAGATCTGGCTCAGGGCTGCAGGCATGTCTCAATGGTAGGGCACAAGCCTAGAATGCTGGAGGCTCTGAGTTTCCTCCCCAGCACTGCAAAAAAAAAGCAGAAGAGATCAGATATGATCAGGGTGGTACAGCTTAGACAAGGGATTGTCTTTTTCTTTAAATTTTATTCTTTTAGACTTTGGACATTTATTTTGTTCATTTATTTATATGCTGTGTTGAGAATTGAACACAGTGCCTCACACATGTGAGGCAAGAGCTCTACCACTGATCCAAAACTCCAGCTCTGTCTTTTTCTTTTTTATTGTTTTAGAAGTGCTTTCTGTCAGACATTGGAAGGA